TTTGCAACTGCACATGGGGACAAAGATTGTACTTTTTGGAGAAATGTCCTCTGGTCTGATGAAACAAAAATAGAACTGTTTGGCAATAATGACCATCATTATGTTTGGATGAAAAAGAGGGTGGCTTGCAAGCTAAAGGACACCATCCCAACCGTGAAGCACGGGGGTGGCAGCATCATGCTGTGGGGGTGCTTTGCTGCAGGAGGGACTGGTGCACTTCACAAAATAGATAGCATCATGAGGAAGGAAAATGATGTGGATATATTGAAGCAACATCTCAAGATATCAGTCAGGAAGTTAAAGCTTGGTCGCAAATGGGTCTTCCAAATGGACAATGACCCCAAGCATACTTCCAAAGTTGTGGCAAAATGGCTTAAGGACAACAAAGTCAAGGTATTGGAGTGGCCATCACAAAGTCCTGACCTCAATCCTATAGAAAATGTGTGGGCAGAACTGAAAAAGCGTGTGCCAGCAAGGAGGCCTACAAACCTGACTCAGTTACACCAGCTGTCAGGAGGAATGGGCCAAAATTCACCCAACTTATTGTGGGAAGCTTGTGGAAGGCTACCTGAAACGTTTGACCCAAGTTAAACAATTTAAAGGCAATGCTACCAAATACTAATTGAGTATATGTAAACTTCTGACCCACTGGGAATGTGATGAAAGAAATAACAGCTGAAATGAATCATTCTCTGTACTATTATTCTGACATTTCACTTTCTTAAAATAGTGGTGATCCTAACTGCCCTAAGACAGGGAATTTGTACTAGGATTAAGTGTCAGGAATTTTGAAAAACTGAGTTTAAATGTATTTGGCTAAGGTGTATGTAAACTTCCGACTTCAACTGTATGTTCATTTAAGTGCAAATTCATTATTTGGATGCATCTCTTATCCTCCTCACAGTGCATTCGGAGGAGGCCCTCTTTCTGTTAGCCACATGCTACTATCGTTCGGGAAAGGCCTACAAGGCATACCGCCTTCTCAAGGGACACAGCTGCACAACGCCACAATGCAAATACCTCCTCGCCAAGTGCTGTGTGGAACTGAGCAAGTAAGGATGTTATTCTGTTTCTGATGTTTTAGTCCTCATAGTTATGACATTGTGCATGCTTTGAATCCAGAGTGCCACCATATTATTTTCTTGGCCATGCTGCATACTGCAGCCAAGTGGATTTAGGGTCGTACTCTTCTGTCATGCAAGAATTGAATACAATATTTCCTCAAACAAGGATTAAAGAGGGCCAGTCCGAGGACAAGAGGCCTGGATAGCTCCCCTCCTCTTTGACCCCCGTATGCTCACATCAGTGGTCCGGTCCTCTTCTCTTCCCAGGCTTGCAGAGGGAGAGCAGATCCTGACAGGGGGGGTCCTGAACAAACAGAAGAGCCAGGAGGACATTGTCACAGAGTTTGGAGACTCTGCCTGTTTCACATTGTCCCTGTTGGGGCAAATCTATTGGTAGGATAACCGTGTTCATTACTTAATTGTTGACCAATCTAAAGCATGTTCGGGGAACGTTTTCAATTGAGAGCTGATTGCTTGTGTGCTAGCTATCACATAGCAATACCTAATGTTTTACTATGCAACTGGAGTATATCATTGCTAATTGATTATTGTACGTGGTTTGAGTGATAGACATTGTACCTTAGTGAAGAGGGTTGGGCGTAGCAGTGCCTTGATGTTTGTTTGTCGAGATGGACACGTTTATTGTATCCTGAAGGAAACCTTGTTAATTCAGCTTCCCATGGTGTTGCTAATGAAATAAAGGGAGCAGAAATTGAGAATTGGAGAGGAGGCATGTCTGTGAATGATATTTGAATGTTACCTTTGTCAATTAAAATGGACAATTTGAATGCAGCAAGCGGCTGCAGCAGGATGTGTCCCTTTCTACAGAGATACCGTATTTAGAACATGATGTAAGCTCAGCCAGTGGGCTAGAATGTCCGAGCATTTAATGATCACTTAGTCATGAACATCATGTCACAGTTTAGACGTGCATGAACCACAATCAAAATGCTGTTGTCTCAATTTCAAAGGTGTAACCATCTCAGAAATCAGACTCTAAACAACAACGTGGTATGCTGATATATTTCAGTGCTGTTGCATTATTACTGTGTGATGTCAGGAAAACCAATGTAGCGGTTAAGCAAAGGTAATTGGTCTGGTATCTAACATGTGACCGTAATACAACCATAAATGCCCAGTGAGTGGTTGCTTCCTCTTTATAAATGAGATTTGAGGTATAGGAGCAAGCTAATCCTGGCAAAGATATTAGCTGGAATGTTCTAAATTAGATTAACGTGACCGGGTGCAATGTGTTTTGTTGTGTGATTGCACGTACGCGGCTGTCACCCACACGCATCACTCAATATCGAGAATATCATTTTCTTCTTTCGTCTGTCTGTGCAGCAAAACGGATCGTCTGGCCAAAGGTTCGGAATGTTATCAGAAGAGCCTGAGCATGAATCCTTTCCTGTGGTCTCCCTTTGAGTCCCTCTGTCAGATCGGTGAGTCAATCAATCAGCTAGGGTGGGTGGGTAGGGAAGTTAGTTATATAATGCATGTTAAGATGATAGAGTAGAATATGTATTTGCATGAACAATAGAGTTTGATTCACTTGTCATAGTAAGACAAAAAGGAGAAACTTCACACTGGTCCTAATCCCATGCATGATGGCAGAACCAAATCTAATTCCCTGACCAGTGCTCAGGTTCAAATCCACTCTCAATTCCCTCTCCCTGTTCTTAAACTGATTGTATTAACCTGTATCTTTGTCAGGCGATCGTCCGGACCCGGAGCAGATCTTCAGACTGACGTCCCTGCAGTGCTTCAGCGGCGGGAGTGGAGCCCCTCCCCTGCTCCCCATCAGCCCCGCCCACACGCCAAGCCACAACATGCCCCACCGCCAGGTGGACACGGTGCTCATGGAGACGCCCCAGGACACCTTAGTACGTCCCTTCAACTCCCCCTGTCCATTTAAACCCAGTATTCCTGTCATTCATATTTTTCTACAGCCAGGTTTGGCTCTCTTTACAATGATGGCTTGCATTGCATTGTCTTGGTACCAAGATGAAAGAGTGTTTGACCTGGTGTTTATTTATAAGTATGAAAATGTATGCACTCACTAACTGTAAGTCGCTCTGGATAAGAGCGTCTGCTAAATGACTAAAATGTAAAAATGTGTTTGGTCAGGGGTTGGGACTGTGGAAGAATGTGATCTGTGAACACTAGGGGTGTAACGGTATTCTTACTGGGGACATCGGTTCTGTCTGCACTGTGAACCCAAATTAATACATTATATATAAAAATAACACTAGTAAGCTATTCCTTTAAAACAACTAGAGCCTATGTGCACGTTGTAATCCAAATTCTAATCTTAATTGGCGCATTTCAAATGATCATTTTGTAAGGAGCAGTCGGGAACTAGTTCTGTACGATGGTGAGTGGTGGGGTTGATAAACCAGAATTTGAGGATACTCCATCGTTTAAATATCCAGTTTGGGAACATTTTGGCTTCCCAGTAGAAGCAAAAATGTATTGAACTTAGAAGGAAATCAACTAAAAGTATTGAATTTATTAGAACATTAATTTGCCCAAGATGATGGTAAGACGTGAACAAAATACATAAGTCATTTGTATTTTCCTTCAACTTTCTGAGGAGGCAACGGCGCGGGAATGCCCCTGTCTGTGTGTGTGTGCGTTTGTCTGCCACTATGTAACCGTTAGTGATGATGCTAATGACAACAGTCTTCTGGTAGATGGAAAGGCTTTCCCAAAAACCTTCTCAATGAAATGTTAACTACAAAGTAGTCTATGCTTACCTGGCAGAATGATATCATGATTATTTGCATCAATCCAGTGGTGATTTGTTCAGGAAAATCTGTAATCACGTGTGGTACAGAATCACCGCTAACCAAGCAAGGCTCTTGCTGGCGCACACCTAAATTTAAAGTTGATCTACACCCAAAATGTGTAATTTCTTAGATTTCTCCCAGACCTCATTGTTTCCTGATGTGGTTTAAGAATTGTTGTGGACCTCCATGAATTTGTTTATTTTACCCCCTTTTTCTCCCCAATTTCGATCATCGCTGCAACTCCCCAACTGGCTCGGGAGGCGAAGGTCGGGTCATGCGTCCTCCGAAACATGACCTGCCAAACCGCGCTGCTTAACACCCGCCCGCTTAACCTGGAAGCCAGCCGCAACTATGTGTCAGAGGAAACACCGTTCAACTGATGACCGAGGTCAGCCTACAGGCGCCCGGCCCGCCACAACGAGTCGCTAGAGAGTGATGAGTCTAATAAATCCCCTTGGCCAAATCCTCCTCTAACCTGGACGACGCTGGGCCAATTGTGCGCCGCCCTATGGGACTCCCGATCACAGGCAGTTGGCATACAGCCCGGGATAGAACCCGGGTCTGTAGTGACGCCTCTAGCACTGCGATGCAATGCCTTAGACCGCTGCGCCATTCGGGAGGCCCCAGGACCTCCAATTTTTGAGAGTGAACCTGAAAAACGGGACAAATCTGAAACCTGGAAAAACAAACTGGAACCAGGCAAAAAATAAAACAGATTTTATAGGGCCATACATTATATGGCTCATGATCTATTCCCGGGTTAGTTTGACATCTTTTGCCAACACTAAAATGATCTACAGTAACGTTTGGCATTTTATTTTCCCGCTGTACCGAACCGTGACCCAAAACCGCAATATGTACCGAACCGTGGGTTTGGTGAACCGTTACACCCCTAGTGAACACTTTATGATAAATAGCACTTCACAAGCAAAGACCTAATAATCTGTCTATCCAAATGTGCACAGAAGAACTGACAACCGCTGTCTCGTTCCCTTTTCCTCCCCTGTAGGAATTAAACAGACTGAACCTGGAGTCTTCCAACTCCAAGTACTCATCTCTGAACACAGACTCCACTATGTCCTACATCGACTCATCCGTCATCTCCCCGGACACCGTAGGGCCTCTGGGGACAGGCGGCTCCCTGCTATCCAAACAAGTGCAGAACAAACCCAAGAGTGGGCGCAGTCTACTGGGGGGGAGCACTCAGCCCCCTCACACCCAGGTACTGGGGGTCTCACTCCCTACACACACATATGAGATGTTTTTTCTCAGTAGAGGCTCTATTACATGTTGGGCTGTTTTATCATAAGTGGATAGATAACGCGTGCCTGTGTCAATCTGCCCTAGAAGTGTCGTATGGCACTGTATTTTGAGTGTGGCGTGTATTCCCTATGTGTTGAGGCACTCCCATTTTTCCCTTTTCGACTACGTTTACAGTGTCATTATGTAGGGTGTCCACCCACTCTGCCGAGAGTGGGTAAAAACGCGCTTTGGTGATGCAATTTCAATTCCTTATGTTATAAAATACATTTTACCAAGACAAATGTTTATTCATGTTCTGAATCTTTCAGTGGGGTCTTTCTCTAACACATCAACATTATATCAAAAAAGTTGCATTTCGTAACCTAATACATCCGTTAATAAGCATTAAGCTCTGACATAGCGGTGCAGGTTTCTCGTAACAACTTTTGAGGATTTAGCATTTTGTGGGTGTCTTCAAAGTTGTTTTCCGTGGGTCGCAAAAAGCTAAATTAGCATGACAAGAGCTGGATTAAATGTAAAAGGCTTTGAAGAGAAAAACGCTCAATGCTCTGTTGACATTTCACAGAGATACGTTTGTTTTTGTGAGAAATCTTCTAAAAAGAACAGGAATTTCGCATTAATATAAAAAGCATATACTAAAATATGAAAGCACTACATATCATGTCTCAATCTATATCTATCTTACCTCTATATTGTTTTATGTCCTCTGGATTTGAGAAGAAAGATTTTTAATTAAAGTAATTAATATGCCATTTAGCAGACGCTTTTATCCAAAGCGACTTACAGTCATGCGTGCATACATTTTTGTGTATGGGTGGTCCCGGGGATCGAACCCACTACCTTGGCGTTACAAGCGCCGTGCTCTACCAGCTGAGCTACAGAGGACGATGAGTTCAACTGTGAGCCTGCCAGTTTGCCTTAATTCTCGCACAGCATCCAGCCTAGCTGACGCAATGCTATTTTCCTGTATTTTGACCACTTTTCTTCTCTGGCCATTGATTTAGTCACCCTAATTTTGGCAATCCTACAAGGGTGAAAACTCCAATAACTTTTGAATGAATTATGATAGAGACATGATATTTGGAGCATTGGTTTTCCTTAGAATGTTATCTGCCCAATTTATGTTATTTTATCCATTGGTCAAAATATGCGTTTTTGATTGGACACCCTACATTATGGAGGCTTATGAATTGGCATTCTGCTCAGAACATTATTCTATTGTCAGCGATCACTCCGCTAGTAATTTGTCCATGGCTTTGAAAATTGTAGTCAAGTAACATTATCTAGGCTATATTTTGATATTGTGCACCTGGCTGCAGTACATACTGGTCTCTCATTCATTCATCCTCCAGCTCCATTGTCCACTAGCCTGTAATTAGGGAGACTGTAATGATAATTGGCTTCAGAGGACGCCTTGATTACTGCTTTCCAGATTTTGTCCTCTACGACGGCTTTGTTCTGTGTGGGCTTCTCTACCTGTGTTACAGGCTGCTCTGGTAGTGAGTGGTACTGTAACTGGATGTAAATGGGGACTTCTGGATGATGGGCAAAATTTTACAGAGCTGAATAAGTCAACAATGTATATGATGAGATGATGATTATTTTTATACTGAGAATCCGTTTGAATCCTCTTATTCCCAGTTTTGGAATCTTGCCCCTGGAGCCCAGCCCAGGGGACCCCTTGTATCTGCAGAACTACTCTCACAGTGGCTCGGGGATGGATCTGCCCCCTCCCGGAGTCCCACCAAAGAAGGTACGCTATAATGAAGCCAACACGCCAAACGCTATGTGGCTCTCCTATTTGGAGTGTTGATCGAAGAGCAACATACTGTGTGTAAAAATCGATCTATGCACGCTTAATAGAAAACAATTCAACTTCAGAGGAGATTCCTTTCATTTCAGTGACGGATTGAACAAAGCAGAAGGTCAAAGATGTTTTGTTGGACATTTTTGAATAGCTTGTTCCCACTTTTCCACAGTCTGTAGCGAGAATCAGTCAGGCGGGGACGAAGTCGGTGTTTGCACAGAGTGGTAACAGCAGGGAGGTCATCCCTGTCCCTTTCAACCAGACTCAGACCACTGCCCCCCCACAGACCAGGTATGTGCTCATTACCAGGCCCATATGGACCCATGTTTACACAATGGAAATGCAGAGATGTTGCCAAAAAAGACAGCTGTCCTCACATTACTTTTTTACGTATTATTTTCAGTGCGAATTCATGCAGGGTGAAATTGTGTAAATGTTATATGAAATCGTGATCCATACTTGTTTTGAGTCAAGTGTTGTGCTTTAAACTTGAAACATTGCAGCATTTTTGCATGGTCAAAATGTCACTCATGGTGTTGGTGTTCTGTGCTAATGGTTGTCTAAGTATGAAGACCTGATGACCATTGTTCTGCTCTGTTTGTCTGTGCCTACTGTAGTACTACGCCTCAAGTGCTGAGCCCCACCATCGCTGCTCCCCCCAATGTGCAGCCCAGGCGGAGCTCCAGACTCTTCACCAGTGCCAGCTCTACTGCCAAGGTAACATACAGTGGGGAGAACAAGTATTTGATACACTGCCGATTTTGCAGGTTTTCCTACTTACAAAGCATGTAGAGGTCTGTAATTTTTATCATAGGTACACTTCCACTGTGAGAGACGGAATCTAAAACAAAAATCCAGAAAATCACATTGTATGATTAAGAAATTAATTTGCATTTTATTGCATGACATAAGTATTTGATCACCTACCAACCAATAAGAATTCCGTCTCTCACAGACCTGTTAGTTTTTCTTTAAGAAGCCCTCCTGTTCTCCACTCATTACCTGTATTAACTGCACCTGTTTGAACTCGTTACCTGTATAAAAGACACCTGTCCACACACTCAATCAAACAGACTCCAACCTCGCCACAATGGCCAAGACCAGAGAGCTGTGTAAGGACATCAGGGATAAAATTGTAGACCTGCACAAGGCTGGGATGGGCTACAGGACAATAGGCAAGCAGCTTGGTGAGAAGGCAACAACTGTTGGCGCAATTATTAGAAAATGGAAGAAGTTCAAGATGACGGTCAATCACCCTCGGTCTGGGGTTCCATGCAAGTTCTCACCTTGTGGGGCATCAATGATCATGAGGAAGGTGAGGGATCAGCCCAGAACTACAGGGCAGGACCTGGTCAATGACCTGAAGAGAGCTGGGACCACAGTCTCAAAGAAAACCATTAGTAACACACTACGCCGTCATGGATTAAAATCCTGCAGCGCACGCAAGGTCCCCCTGCTCAAGCCAGTGCATGTCCAGGCCCGTCTGAAGTTTGCCATCTGGATGATCTAGAGGAGGAATGGGAGAAGGTCATGTGGTCTGATGAGACAAAAATAGAGCTTTTTGGTCTAAACTCCACTCGCTGTGTTTGGAGGAAGAAGAAGGATGAGTACAACCCCAAGAACACCATCCCAACCGTGAAGCATGGAGGTGGAAACATCATTCTTTGGGGATGCTTTTCTGCTAAGGGAACAGGACGACTGCACCGTATTGAGGGGAGGATGGATGGGGCCATGTATCGCGAGATCTTGGCCAACAACCTCCTTCCCTCAGTAAGAGCATTGAAGATGGGTCGTGGCTGGGTCTTCCAGCATGACAACGACCCGAAACACACAGCCAGGGCAACAAAGGAGTGGCTCCGTAAGAAGCATCTCAAGGTTCTGGAGTGGCCTAGCCAGTCTCCAGACCTGAACCCAATAGAAAATCTTTGGAGGGAGCTGAAAGTCCGTATTGCCCAGCGACAGCCCCAAAACCTGAAGGATCTGGAGAAGGCCAAAATCCCTGCTGCAGTGTGTGCAAACCTGGTCAAGACCTACAGGAAACGTATGATCTCTGTATTTGCAAACAAAGGTTTCTGTACCAAATATTAAGTTCTGCTTTTTTGATGTATCAAATACTTATGTCATGCAATAAAATGCTAATTAATTACTTAAAAATCATACAATGTGATTTTCTGGATTTTTGTTTTAGATTCCGTCTCTCACAGTTGAAGTGTACCTAAATTACAGACCTCTACATGGTTTGTAAGTAGGAAAACCTGCAAAATCGGTAGACATGTTTCTGACGTCAGCAGAGGTCTTTGAGATGCTAAACACAAACAAACATGCATTCCTCAACAGGAGAACAGCAAGAAGCTGAAAATGAAGTTCCCCACCAAAATCCCCAACCGGAAGACCAAGTCAAAAATGGGCAAGGGAGGTATCACCCAATCCAACCTGAACGAGAGCATTGAGATCCTCAAGCTGGACTCGTCCATGACAGAGGGGAAAGTCAGTATGGGCTCTCCTCAGTTCCAGGCCTTCAGTCTGCAGAAGGCTGCTGCAGGTGAACTGGGACACTGTTAGAATGAACTCTCACACATTGACTTTCAATGAGTCTTCTTTACCTGACCATATCAAGATGTTGAGCTGAGCTGTAGGGATACACTGCCATTTTAAAAACAAATTATGTCAAAGTAATGCAGTAGGTTTCTGACACTTTTTAAAAACTTTGTTGAGTTGCTGTTATAATAGTCTTATTAGCCACCTTGTCATACTTTAGCTATGACTAACACAAACAAAACGGAACAATGTCCTTATAAAGATGCCATCACAAGTCCTTATCTCCAACCCCTCTGTGTTCCAGATGGCCTGATGATGCTGATGCGAGACATCGGCCGGGGGTACCTGGCCCTCTGCTCCTACAACTGTAAAGAGGCCATCAGCATCCTGAGCCAGCTGCCCTCCCATCACTACAACACAGGGTGGGTCCTGGGACAGATCGGCAGGGCCCACTTTGAGCTGGCCGAATACATGCAGGTAAGGGAGGGCCTTTTGCTAGGTTCACCTTTCACACTTAAAACAGGGATTGTGGGCATCTGAAGCTAGATGTACTCCTGTCCTTACTACAATTTCACAGGGTTTAGACTGTCAAATGGATGGAAAGAGTGGACGATGGCTGTGTATGGTGGCTTTTGCTACTTCTCAATGGCTCGATTAGAAACTTTTCTCACTCTTTGTCTCCTGTCCCCTCCTTGCAGGCGGAGAGGATCTTCTCGGAGGTGCGGCGCATCGAGAGCTACCGGGTGGAGGGCATGGAGATTTACTCCACCACCCTGTGGCACTTGCAGAAGGACGTGGCCCTGTCGGCCCTGTCCAAAGACCTCACCGACATGGACAAGAATTCACCAGAGGTAACACAGACTGGGACAAACAGTTGCACGTACCGTAACCACGTCTAGTCATTTGAGACTTTTTGGGGGAAATGCTTACAAGTGATTCTGTCTTGGAGTATGGTTGCCTTAATCTAAAAGATCCATCTTTTTGTTTCTTCTGCTCCTATTTCTATCATCACCCTTTTCTCTCCTCTTCTATTCCCTCCCTCCTCAACTCTGTCTTTTTGTCCCCTTAGGCATGGTGTGTGGCTGGCAACTGTTTCAGTCTGCAGAGGGAGCATGACATAGCCATTAAGTTCTTCCAACGTGCCATCCAGGTGAACCCGGGATTTGCCTATGCCTACACGTTGCTAGGCCACGAGTTTGTCCTCACAGAGGAGCTGGAGAAGGCTCTGGCTTGCTTCCGTAACGCCATTAGAGTCAATACACGCCACTACAATGCCTGGTGAGTTAGTGCACAACCTTGGAGTGATAGTGGATGTGACAGAATCTGAATTACAATCGTAATAGATGTGAAATGCTATGTTATTATATTACCATACTATTTTATTTTATTTCCTCTGTGTTGTAGTACTCCAGTCCGGTCTCGGTCTTGAGACCACATATTGAGTGTCTTGTCTCTGTGTCGGATACATTTGTACTCGGTCTTGAATCGGTCTCGGACAGTGAGGACTCGTAATTTCTTCCCGAGACCAGCGGAGTAAAAAAACTCATAATTATCAGCTTCCATTCAGTCAGCGCATAAAATCGCTTCACCAGGCCAAATAAACTTAGCAGGACCCTGTCTTTCAAAGATAATTTGTAAAAATCCAAATAACTTACAATTTCAGTTGTAAAGGGTTTAAACACTGTTTCCCATGCTTGTTCAATTAACCATTAACAATTAATGAACATGCATCTGTGGAATGGTCGTTAAGACACTAACAGCTTACAGTCGGTAGGCAATTAAGGTCACAGTTATGAAAACTTAAGACACTAAAGAGGCCTTTCTACTGACTCCAAAAAAACACCAAAAGAAAGATGCCCAGGATCCCTGCTCATCTGCGTGAACGTGCCTTAGGCATGCTGCAAGGAGGCATGAAGACTGCAGATGTGGCCAGGGCAATAAATTGCAATGTCCAAACTCTGAGACGCTTAAGACAGCGCTACAGGACGGACGGACAGCTGATCGTCCTCCCAGTGGCAGACCACGTGTAACAACACCTGCACAGGATCGGTACATCCAAAACTCACACCTGCGGGACAGGTACAGGATGGCAACAAAAACTGCCAGAGTTACACCAGGAACGCACAATCCCTCCATCAGTGCTCAGACTGTCTGCAATAGGCTGAGAGAGGCTGGACTGAGGGCTTGTAGGCCTGTTGTAAGGCAGGTCCTGACCAGACATCACCGGCAACAACGTCGCCTATGGGCACAAACCCACCGTCGCTGGGTCGCTGGACCAGACAGGACTTGGAAAAAGTGCTCTTCACTGACGAGTCGCAGTTTTGTCTCACCAGGGGTGATGGTCGGATTTGCGTTTATTGTCGAAGGAATGAGCGTTACACCGAGGCCTGTACTCTGGAGCGGGATCGATTTGGAGGTGGAGGGTCCGTCATGGTCTGGGGCGGTGTGTCACAGCATCATCGGACTGAGCTTGTTGTCATTGCAGGCAATCTCAACGCTGTGCGTTACAGGGAAGACATCCTCCTCCCTCATGTGGTGCCCTTCCTGCAGGCTCATCCTGACATGACCCTCCAGCATGACAATGCCACCAGCCATAATGCTCGTTCTGTGTGTGATTTCCTGCAAGACAGGAATGTCAGTGTTCTACCACGGCCAGCGAAGAGCCCGGATCTCAATCCCATTGAGCACGTCTGGGACCTGTTGGATCGGAGGGTGAGGGCTAGGGCCATTCCCCCCAGAAATGTCCGGGAACTTGCAGGTGCCTTGGTGGAAGAGTGGGGTAACATCTCACAGCAACAACTGGCAAATCTGGTGCAGTCCATGAGGAGGAGATCACGCAGTACTTAATGCAACTGGTGGCCACACTTTGATTTTGACCCCCCCCCCCCTTTGTTCAGGGACACATTATTCAATTTATGTTAGTCACATGTCTGTGGAACTTGTTCAGTTTATGTCTCAGTTGTTGAATCTTGTTATGTTCATACAAATATTTACACATGTTAAGTATGCTGAAAATAAACACAGTTGACAGTGAGAGGACGTTTCTTTTTTTTGCTGATTTTTATATACACTCCTTTCTTGAAACATGAATATCTTAACAGCCTTTATATCTATTATAGACATGTTTGTGCAGAGGCGAACTTATAGGCATTCCGTGTGTGACAGGTTCGTGACTCTGAAAGGACAGCAACCATAATACCAGCGCACTCATGTAGGAGAGTGTACTTTTTGTAAACACAAAGGGCTCGTGGTGTAGTGGAGGGTATAGGCAGGTATAAACCCTATACCCTGTTTTTCACACAGGGTGCCTTTTCTTCACTGGGCGGGCCGTTTCAGGATGCATGGTTTCAGTTTCAATTACTCAATATTCTGGATAAAAACGGATGAATGTAACTAAAGTTGGGAATGTCAATACAATCAAACTAACAAGGGCAATGATCACAAGTCAGTCATAACGTGGCTAATAGGCCATCTATTTATGTAGCAAGCTAAAAACATGGAGCTAACGCTACCTAGGTAGTTAGCAGGATGTCATGACATTGGAGGAGTGGGTGAGTGACTGACTTTCCCCCCCTCATATCATTTTTCGGTGGCTATACACAGCTAGAGATGCAGGTGTCATTTGGTTAGCTAGCAATAACTTGAAACGACTGTTATACAGTTAGCATATCTCTTGCGTTCGCAAATTCACTCTGGCTATCTACTCTGATTTCAGAGCACTCTCGTCTGATTGTGCCAGAGCGCAGGACAACTGATGAATTTACGAACACGCAACACCTGCTGAATATGACCGGTGTCAGTAAACGTAGGCAAAAAAAGTAATAGTTAGTCAAGAACGCTCTAGATAACATGTAAACAGCTAACGAGCTCTGCTACGGTGAGTAAAAGGGTCAGAGTGAGGTGTTCTCTCATTTGTGTCTGGAAGCAGCTAGCTAGCCAACTTTAGCCAGTTAGCTTGGTTGGGACAAGCATGCATGGGCAGGCAAGCTGCAGAAGGATGAGGAGGCTACAATTCCCCATTGTTTAGCTGAAAAAGTGTGAGTGTTTATCTAATGTTCCTTCGTTAGATTTTAGCTCCTCTTGCTCTGGCTAGCATTAGTTGTTGATGTGCATAACTGAGGGAGAGAGAGCCTACCTTGTCATGGTTGTTTGATGAATAGAAATGTAAAGTTCCCAAATGTAAGAGGACTACCATGGCGTTTACATATTTGCAGAAATCCATTCAGGTGTATTTTGTGGCTTTTGGCGAATGCGTTCTAATGATCTAAAGTCGCACTATTGCAAATGACTGTAAACACACAGTCCAGTTCAAAGTGAATTATGGCAGGCCCGTGTGGCAAATGGCTTGTTTGTATAAAGGTCTATTGTAGCTCTGATTGGCTATAGCGCACCGGTCTGTGTAGACTCCGGTCCCGGACAAGACAGATGTTTTTATTCAGTTTTATTTACTGCACTGTCTATTAATTGTACAAACGCAAGGCCACTTTCCCACTCTATATTGCTATAGAATTTTCACAAATGCCTTAGTATACGTAATTCCTACATTTATGAAAATGACCATATCTAAGTGGTCATTCTTCCTGGGATGTATATGAACTGTTTTTTTTTAATACGATTTCATGTTGCTAAAACGCTGTCAGTTCCACTTTAAATGGAACACTGTTTCACACACATTATTTTCAAAGATGGCTATCAACAGCAAGCGCACTGCAATATAAATCACAGTTCCACTCACCAGATGATGATCATTTGAAACTTCTTGTTGAAAGTTATTCTTGAAATAGGGAGAAGCTAACAAATTAACAACATTGTCTTTGATAACACCTGCTGCAGCCGCTGCAAACTACCCGACAACAAAAGCTAGCTAGCTAACTAGACCGTGGGAAAACTACTGCTCGCTATTGCGCAGTGACCTGTTGGCCTTCAAGAAGGCAGCAGTTTCCATATGTTTTTGTAAAAACGGTCCCACTCATTAAGTCCAAATGTGATTGGTTGATTCCACTGTCACTCCAATGTTTTTCCCTATTACAGTTGAATGGCAGATGCCTTTATCTAGCTTCTGATGGCCTGGCGAATGGCTGACTTAGCTAGCTAGATGTATCTCCCCAGAGACCAGCAAAGAAATATCCTGATTGGATCTTTTTTTCTCTTCAGCGTTAACCCTTGCCTTACCAACAAAAACTGAAAAGATTAAGTCAGAACATCATTGAAAATAATGATATAATTATCATTATTATTATAGTCATTATTTTATCAATTCTTAGCCCTTCTCTGAAGGCGTAGAAGGCCCATTGTTCCCCACTGTGTTTGGGTTAGTAATAATTTGTAGAGTGGCTCTATTGTTCTGAAATTTGAACACAAATACTGGACATTTTGAACTCGAACAATCATGGTCTTGAATTGGACTCACATTTTTCTGGTCTTGACTCAGTCTCGGACCCCTTGTCCCCCTCCTGGTCTCTGTCTTCACTTGGTCTCACCCCCCCCCCCCCCCCCCTCCGGCCTTGGTCATGAATCGGTCTCGCTTTAGGTGGTCTCGAACACAACACTGTATTACCTGTATTATGTTATTATTTGACCTTATGTTATTATATGACCTTATAATGCAGATTAATAAGCAAAAGTCTCAATAAGGAATTCAAACAAATGTGTCATATTTTGATGTTATTGAATAATTTATGATTATGGGAGACGCTTGTTATCTCACTTTTCGCTCGTTCTCTCTCTCCCTCCATCTCCAGGTATGGCTTGGGGATGATCTACTACAAGCAGGAGAAGTTCAACCTGGCAGAGATTCACTTCAAGAAGGCACTTAGCATCAACCCTCAGAGCTCTGTGCTCCTCTGCCACATCGGAGTGGTGAGTGGCCACTACACTCAGTCTTTCAGCTCACTCAGTCTGTCAGGGCACTTCAAGACATTGCATGCTGAATTTTTTTTTTTTACCATCTTTGTGTTTTAGAAAAACACTTTATAAATTATATGTATTATTATTGTTACTATTTTCATAGCCTGTAGTATTTTACATTTTGGTACTTGAGTTACATTTCTCCAATGTCCTTTATGGCACGCTAACTAACTCGCTCCATGTTTCCTGTTGTTTCCACACAGGTTCAGCATGCACTGAAGAAGTCTGACCATGCTTTGGAAACCCTGAATAGAGCAATCAACATAGACCCCAAGAACCCTCTATGCAAATTCCACAGGGCCTCCATCCTCTTCGCTAATGAAAAGTACAAGGTAGGTCCATATGGCATTTCATAAGCGACCACCGACTAACCTACTTTTCAGCAGAATTCCTCTTCCGTATTAATATTATCATTATTTTCTATTGGTTAAGTCTAATCAAAAAATTATAATTGTGTTCCCTTTTCAGGCAGCTCTACAAGAGCTTGAAGAGCTTAAACAAATAGTGCCCAAAGAGTCCCTTGTTTACTTTTTAATAGGAAAGGTAAGCAAATGTAAACTTTTTTCTTTGTGGGGATTAAGAGGAAAGGAGCAGACCATAAGTGAAGAATTTACTGTCACTTTGATACTCCTACTCAATAATAGACCACTTTACACTCACCTCTCAAATCTCATACAGTCTGACTTTGTGCAATGCACTAAATAGCTATGAGAGATTTATGACATCAAATGTTATTTGTCACATGCGCCGAATACAACAGGTATAGTGTAGACCTTACCGTGAAACGCTTACTTACGAGCCCTTCACCAACAATGAAGAGTTTTTAAAAAGTAATACAAATTTGCTAAATAAACTAAAGGAGAAATAGTAACACAATAAAATAACAATAACGAGGCTATATACAAGGGGTACCGGTAATGAGTCAATGTGCAGGGGTACAGGTTAGTTCACGTAATATGTACATGTAGTTAGGGGTAAAGTGACATATTTCCTAGTTGTCCTGCTCTAATCATATGCTTTCCTCCCTATTGCTCCCTTCAGGTGTATAAGAAGCTGGGCCAGACCCACTTGGCGTTGATGAACTTCTCCTGGGCCATGGACCTGGATCCCAAAGGAGCCAATAATCAGATCAAAGAGGCCATAGACAAGAGGTACCTCCCTGACGACGAGGAGCCTGTCACTGAGGACTACCCCTATGACTCAGGTACAACCACTGTGACTGCCATGACCGACTGATGCATGGCTATGACCATTTAGTTCCCTGTTAATGACGGCAATGACCTGTACATTTGTTATGAGTTGCAGCATCATTTATGAATGCAAAGTATTTGACAGCCTTACAATTAAACATTGAGTACTAGTAGTAATTAATTTTGAGTCAATACACTTCAGAATTTGAATAGTATATGTGAAACACTCCAGAAAGGTGTAGCCAAGTGGCTTAACACTAAAGTACAGATTTTAGGGCGAGAATGCCAATATTGTCAGGCTTCTGTGTATTCATGTTACTTCAAGAAAGAAGCTGAAAAGTGTCAGACTGTCAGGAACCATGCTTTGACCTCTGACCTCCACCTTGTCCCCAGCAGCTGAGGTGGAGGAGTCGCAGGAGAGCAGTATGACCGACGCAGACGACGCGCAGCTCCACACCGCCGAGAGTGACGAGGTCCTGTAACCCCCCCCCCTGACCCTACCCCCCGACACCTCCTTTGGACTTAAAAACCATGCCAACCTGGAGCCAACCTCTGGACTCCAGTATTTAAAAAAGAGAAGAAGAAGAAAAAATAAAAGGAAAACAAACTGCTGCTAATACAGTACCTCCGATTCTTTTTTTTGTTCTTTTTCTTTTTATAATCATCTGCTATTTCTTGGTTTTGTTTTCTACCCCTCCTCCCACCACCACCATCCTCGTCCTTCTCCCGTCATGCCTTAGTCCTCACTGGCTTATCATTCTCGTCGGGTCCCGTGCAGCCATGTGTTTTTGGTTTGTTTTTCCTAGAATACCTCATCAGCACCACATCGCCCCATCAGTGCTGATTTTGAATGTCCCGCACCTCATCATTGAAAGACATCACATTCGCTTCTTTTAGGTTTGGAGCGCTGCGCTCATGCCCACGGAAGAAAAATAAACAAACATTAATGGAAGTCCCTGTCTTAATGTTTAGGTTTTTGTTATTTATCAGCGTTACTCTGAATAAACACTTGTGTTATAGCCTGTAGCTCTTTGGTTCCTCTCTCCTGATTGATCCGTGAGTAAATGTATGGGAGAGGAATGAGGACAAGCACATTTCTCGCCTTTTCTCCGGGGCGTTGGGATGTCCAAGGTGTTCCAGCCATGGCTATGGCCCGGCGAGTTTCAGCTAAAGCAGACAGAGAATATCTCCCGACTAGAGATCTAGCAATGCCAGATGTCTCGATCACAGATAAATAAATAAAAGTGACATATTTAACCATGTTTGTTTCAGAAGTGCCTCTTATTGACACTGATGTGAAAAGCCAGTGGTTTGTCCAACCAGTCAACAAGATTCAATGTGCTGTTCTTTTGAGGTGATACATCATTAAATACTTCTAGAAACAAATGTGCTCAAATATGATAATCATCCACAGGTTTAGCCTGAGTGCCAGTCTGTTTGAGCTTTCATGCCAACTACTTGTCATTCATCGTCATGTCAAACATGTTTTGTCTTGACAATGACAGTAATGGAGTTGGAAAGAGCACAAACTGATCTGGGACCAGGTTACCACAGGTTGGTCCTCACTGACCACATTAATACAAGGTATGATGACGGGGATTAAATGCCCAGTTTCAATAGTTGGATGTATGTGATCCCCTAGAATTAAATCACCCAAACAGCCAAATGTGTGTTTGGGGAATTTCGCATTGATTCTGTGTGTATGTATGCAATGTTTCTTGATGTGCTTCTTAACGTACAGTTGGGAAAGGCAAAAATCAATGCCACATTCAGAAATATTGCCCCATATCAAGGAGTTGAAATGCCTTTCCTAAAGTTCTGGTGCTTTTTTTCCTAAGGCATAGTTTATGGATACGAGCAGCTTAAAATTTGACCTCTGCACAGCCTGGTCAAAATATTATGTTCTCATTTTGCAAGTGCGTCGGGGTCTTAATTTAAAATGTGTTCTGTCGTTGGGGATAATGTCTGTTCATGTATATATGTGCTATTCATTTTAAGGATATTTGAAATTATAGAATAAACTACTTTAAACATGTCTTCTATTTGATTGCCTTGTACTCCCCCCAAATGTGATAATGTCAGTAAATGTAAGACTTGATGGCTGCGTCTGCCTTTACAAACAACTGACAAGACATTGTGTTTTAGTAGATGCTGATCAGAGCAAATTGGCCAATGATTGGGGGACTGAACAACAGTTTATAGCCTAGTTATTACAAGCAAAACAGTTAAGTATGGATTTCTATCAAGTCTCTCATAATTAATTGCATTGAGAACACTAATGATTAGTTCATGATTTATAAGTGGGGGAAACCAAGATTGTTTCAGGACAGGAGATGAAGGAAGGATATGTCCATCATTGAGGACCTGGATCAGAGAAGAACTGGGATGAGCGTCTGCTGTATCCGTGCCCTCACTGACATACCAGGACATTGCATCTGATGCGAGCATGAACTTGGAGCCAGTGTATGGAGGTTAGGAAGGTTATTTTAAGGTTAGTCTCTTCTCATGTAGAAGGACAGAAAGACCTCTGCAAGTGGGGCCTGACTTCCACTGACAATACAACTAGTCTGTTTGTCAGGTTTCAGGTCATCAACAACTGGGCCACTCCACATATGCTAGCACCATTACCTCTGGATAATGCCATTTTAGTCCAGCTATGTAATATTCCACGCTACAGCAGCCGGAAGAAAAGCCCCTTCAAATGACAGTGATTCAAATGGATTTAATTGTTGTGACCCAGCATCGGCTTGTCAACACATCTAAAACCGTATTGGGTTGCTCAAAAAGCAAATAAACACCGTCGACGGTTCTCAGTGGCTATTACTAGGTTCAAATTATGCTCCGTTTAGACAATTAAGGGGTTGAAATTTGGAGACTAAATACAAAGTAATTTGAGGCAAGTGATTTGGTGGAGACCGGGATAATTTGGTCAAATTGACGTTGAAGAGCAATTGGCCAACTCTTTAGTCTAACCAAATTATTTTATTTTAAAGTATTGCACTGTTATTGAGCTTGTATATTAATAACAACAACTGGTAAACTTCCATATTATTCACTTTCAACTGGACGCCCCATCCGTGCAGACTAGCAGATAAATAAGCCAATTGCCATCCCTGCATAACCAAATTGACGAATCACAGAGCTAGGCAGGCGGGTAATTCCGGTTCAAGACTGGTTGAGTTGTGCAGGTAAGTGAACATGAATTCTTCACTCTGTCATATTAAAACTGAGTTTATCTCAGGTAATTTTACAAAACGGATTATGTTAGAGGATAAAATGAATAGAGATGGGATTGATGTGTGTTATCTTGTATGTTATTGATTTATTTGATGATCCAATTTGAAATGCTAAGGTAAAACTGCTAACGTTACTGTGGGGTTGCAGTCAACAGGCCAAATAGTGTATCTAGCTAACGTTAGCTATCGTTCGTTGGGTGTCGTACAGTAGGCACACACACTTGCAAAATTATATACACTATATAGTAAAGAATAATTGTGATAACATTGTGAAATATTTACATTAGGATTTCCCACAGTAAGTCACAGTGCGTGATATTTTGTATGGTTAGCTACGTTTATAAAGTAGTAATAGATTTTAGCGCAGGGATTGCTAGCAAGCTATGCTAGCTGCTCGGTAGCTAACTTACTTAGACGAGGGCCGTGGAGTTCGTTAGCCAGTTCGCTAGCTATTATCTAGCCAACATAGTTGATTATGGGCTACAGCCCGTTTCAACGATAAAATCAGTCAAGGTAACAGAGTATTGAGTCTCAAATGAATACACTTTATTCTTAATTTAGAAGACTGTGGAAGATTGTGCCCTAGTATAGTGTTACTGTAGCTGCACGTAAATCATCACCAAAATTCAACAAGATAATTTGCAGAATAATTTTTGAATAAGGCACAAGGTCATTCTATAAATATTTTATGACTGTCATATAGACTCAGAACAACACTTCTCTATAAATGGAAAAATAAATCACATAATGTTCAATACAAATAGTGTTTTTAGACATTCTTTGTAGTGGCCATACCAAGTAGGCCTATGTCAGTCTTATGATTTATAGGTATATTATTATGTATTATATATGATTGATTTATAATGCCATTTGTTTGTATGTACAGGTCCCTTGGACAAAGAACTGGAGGGATTACGTTGTGGAAGTGCATTCGGAAAGTATTCAGACCCCTACACTTTTCCACATTTTGTTACATTACAGCTTTATTCTAAAATGTATTAAATTATGTTTTTTCCCTCATCAATCTATACACACAATACCCCATAAAGACAAAGCGAAAACAGGTTTTTAGAAATGTTTCCAAATGTATTACAAAAAGTAATTGGGTATCTAAAAACCTGTTTTTGCTTTGTCATTATGCGGTATTGTGTGTAGATTGATGAGGGGGGGGGGGAAACTATTTAATCCATTTTAGAATAAGGCTGTAACGTAACAAAATGTGGAAAAAGTTAAGGGGTCTGAATACTTTCCGAATGCACTGTACCTGGAAGACACTGGATATTTTTCCGCTAAGGATGGATTTGGTGGGAGGCGAGCTTTGGGATTGCAAGGTATGTATACACAACACATGTGTTTCATGATACAGTATTGATAATGTAACATCACCATGCATAGAGCTATTACATGCACTGTGCTTGGTTTAATAACTTTGGACAGATTGCCAAAGTACATTGTTCCATAAATGACTATGGGTGATATTTCACTATAATCTGAAATGATGTATCACTATAATATTGTGTCACTGTCTGGCATAGCAACCTAAAGACTGTTTCAGAAATATGGTGTGGGAGTCAGATGCTGACAGGTGGAGGAGTGGTTTATCCAATATAGGGGGTGTTAACTCTACTAAAGACCACTAGATGGCGGAATGGCACATTAGTAGAGTGCAGCAGAATACAAAACAAGTGGAATATCAATGGCGGGGATCATAAGGCAGGGGATATGACATCCATATATAGATGTTGATTGTTGTCTGAAACCGCAAGCAGTTTTGTGTTTGCCTAATGAAAGGAACTGGATTTGTAAGTAATATAGTGAAGGACTCCAATTCGATTCTCCTAGAGGTCACAGGACCATCCTTTGCCTGTATAGAGCTCGCCAGCTTGTAGTCTTAAAAACCGTAAATGAGTTACCTCTGGTTCATTCAGCCATTCTTATGGGGAAAGTATACGGTTTTGGGATAAATGCTGAAAATAAGGTCTGAGGTTAACACAGGCTTAGGAGATCTCATACGTTTTGTTCTATGCAATAATATCAGTCAGTTAACATTACCTTTATGAATTTTTAAAAATTTGATGTGCTTTTTGTGCTTTTTTTTATTACATAAATGATTTAAAATTCACAAAAAGTTGATAAAGATTCTCATAGAATAAAACGTATAAGATCTCTTAAGCCTGTGTTTACCACAGACCTCATTTTCAGCATTAATCCAAAAACCCTACAAAACTCAATTCATTTTCCCA